AGCCGCAGCCATGAAGTCGCTGTGCCTCGTCACCGTGGGGGTCTTGGCCATGACGCTGCTCATCGCCAGCATCTCCCTGCTGGTCGCGCACGTCTTCCAGACGGTGGTGGATCTGCAGGTGAAGCAGGTGAGAGCGCGGCCGCCGTCCCGCCCCGATCCCTGTTTATTCCCGCTGGGAGGGAGGGAGGGAAGGAGGGGTGGAAGGGGCTGGCTCCCTCCTTGCGCCAGTGAGGGCAGGAGCATCCCTGGGCAGCGAATCCCCCTGCCTGGCACCACCCGGCTCAGGATGCAGCTCAGGCTGCGCTGGGTAAAAACCGGGTGAATATGCAGAAAAATCAGCTCTTGGGGCAGCTTTGCTGGCTGTGGGGCGCGAGGATCCCTGTCCAGAGCAGCAGCAGCACATGAAGGGAGCAGGGGACACCCCTTCTTTGTGCCGTCGTGGATAGATGTCTTGCTGCTTTCGTACAGTAGAGCTTGTTCTTCTGTGCCTTGTGTTGCTGCCCCTGGAGCACAGCCAGAGGTGCTATGGGCTGAAACACGTGGTGTTTCCCAGTTTCCCAGGCTGGGGGATGACAGAGGGCGTTTCACCCTGTTGTTCCAGGCGGTGTGTGACACTCTGGGGGCACTCATCCTGGCATTGTTGTGGATTCAGAGCCCTGCGCTGTTCCTGGGCTGCCTGAGCTTTTGTGCATTTATCCAGTGAGAAGGGTCAGTTGTGGTAGCAATCCTCTTGCAATGCCTGTGTAAATGAGCAATTATTTATCTGTCTAGTCTGAGGAATATCATCTTAGCCCTGATTCTGACAGTGAAACCAGGAATGCTAACAATTGAAGGGATTTGACCTGTGCTGTTGTTTCACTGGTGACCAGATAGATGACCTGTGATGTCCTCACCTCCTGCTCTTTCTTTTGGGCTGAGGACAGGGAGCATTTCCTGCCACAGAAGCTGTGTTGCCTTAACTTAAATCGGTTTGCTTTGGTGAGTGCAATTCTAGGCTGGCAGTGAGCTTAGAGCAGGCTGTGGCACCTTGAAGTGTGCCTGTAGACTTGAGAGGAGAGCCAAAAAACCCAGCTACCAATCCCTTGATGTCAGCCCATGCCTTTTCTAGACAGTCTGAAGCCAGGTGTGGAGTGGTATGAGTGCTAATGAATGCAAAGCTCCATGCAAACCAAGCCAGAGCAGCACAGCTTGGCATAGCTCCATCCCCCAGGTCTTGGCTCTCCTTGGGGAGGAATCTGCCATCCTTTGCATACCAGAATTCCACTTTCAGGTCTGTTTCATGCTGTTATCAAGAGAGCAGTGTGGTGAAAGAAGTGGTTTGGTGGGAGAGCAGAGGACTGTTGGGAATTAGACGTGATCCTCCTTACCGTATTATCCCCTGGCTGCATGCTCCTTCCCTGGGTTATGTAAGAGCAAGTTGGTATTCACTCAGCAGGGCTTTCAGTAATGCAGGATAAAGTTTCCAGAGCTCAGTCATTCCCTGCTCGCTGCTCTCCAGCTCATGCTGGCAGACACCTGGATGGCACAGAGCGAGGTGTTCTGCTCCCCACTGACTCCCTCCTGGCCTTCTCCAGGAGCCACACACACACACACACACACACACACACACACACACACACACCCACACCACAGTGGTGGTACAGCTCCAAAGCAGAGTGCTCCCAGCCACTCTGCTGATCTGGCTGCTTTTCACATGTGCTTTGTCCCACGTGAGCTTTTCCTCATTGGTGTGTAGTCTGGAAAGCTGCTGTCTCTTGTGTAACTGTGTATGGAGCTTAGCAAACCTTGTGCAAATAGACAAATCTCAATTTGCCTTTGAAATGGGGCAAGACTTGAGCTTTTCCAAAGAGTCCCTATTCCCTTGAGGCCTTTCCAGCAGTCTTGAATCATTGCTGAAGGGCTGTCTTTGCCGCCTCAAGTGCAGCTGAGATGGAAATCCCTATTTTGGGGCAGCTGAAGCACCTGTGTGGCCAAACCCAGCAGCTGGGAACCTCTGAGGATGGCTCTGCCTTCAGCAGGGGGTTGTGTGTGGCACCCTTTCCAGCCAAAAGCAAGATCTTGGGTGCAGAGGGGATGTGGGAAGAGTGGGGAATCCAACCCAGAGTCAGACTCAACATCCCTTTGAAAATCCATAGGCAGATGTGTAGTGACATGTGGCATGAAGAAAACACCTGAGGGAAAGGACTGACTGCCCAAGGTTGGAATTGGGAGCACCAGAGATTGCTGTATTTACAAACTGCATGCTCATGGCAGTAAAACACAGGTGCTGTCTTCATGTCACATCACCTTATGCTGCTAATTTTAGTAAACACTTAGTCTGTGAACCCTTTGAAATTCCACTGGACTTGTGTTGCTCTTTCCAAAAGGACATGGAATATATTTTCTCCCTTGATTTCATTGATGTATTAGTCATTTTTTTTGCTGTTGCTGTTCAATGTGAAGTACTAGAGCTCTCAGCAGAGTTTATTGTGAAGGATTAGCTGAAGGATCCGTTGGGATGGTCCCAAAAATGTTCAATATCATTTTCCACCTCCACCATTGCTCCCAGGAACAGTTATATTTGGGAGGGAAATCTCCTTTTATTTCCTGTGTGTGAAGCACAGTCAGGATAAGGAAACAGCAGTGAATGAGAGAGCTGCAAATTCTGGACTGGCTTATAAGTGCAGTCAGCCGGAAGGATGCTTTGGAACACTGGAAATGAGCCTGGAGTCCACTCAGAAAGGAGAAGCCCTGATGTCAATTTAGTGTCACGTGATAGACCTAAATATCCCTGGTAACGTTTGGTGAGAATCAGAAGAAAAGAGCTCACCGTATTTCACTGTTTGAGAGTATCACAGGAGCTGTCTGAGTCCAGCTCAGGCCTTAGTGAGTCTGGGTTTGCTCTCACTGTACAGAGCTATTAATAGACACTTGATTTCTGTGGGAGATCCAAATGGTGCCAGATCCAGGCAATAAATGTGGAATGACTATGACCAGAGTGCACTTGCCTGAAACCAGGGATAGATCACAAGAAAACAGGTTCAGAAGCACTGGGCTGTGGAGGAAATGGTACATCTGAGGTGCTGGTGGCTCCAGAGAAATGCTCCAAGCTCCTGACGCATATCTAAACCACACAAATTTCTGTGATGGTGTGCACAGAAGACGTGGTTTGAAACCCTCAGAGGAAAGCAGGCTACAACCACAAAGTGCCACCAGCTGGGCTGGCTTTCACCGCCCTTCAGCGCTCCTCCTGCCATGCCAAGCTCCTGCCAACAAGTGTGTCTTTGAACAGCCTTTGAAACAGTCTTCTCTTTATCTGTTGCTTCAGAAGGAAAGTCTGCATGGATTAAAACCAGCCACTGAAGTGGGAAGGCTAAGAATGAGTCCTGAGGCATTGTGGCTGATAAGCCCCTGTAAACAGTGGCCAAGAACTGGCAGCTGTCCAGCCTGCCCTGCTTCTGAGCTCCCACTCAACAGTCTCTGACTTGTTTTCTCAGAATAACAAGAACAAGTGTTGATGAGACCCATTTAATTGCTAATTATTTTCCCCCTCCCTCCCTTTCTTCCGCCTCCAGGTGATGTGGTTTTCAGGGACAGAGTTTTCTCTGTGCTTGTTCCTGGAAATCCACTCTGTAAGCCAAAGTTCTCCTTATGACCACTGCAGCAGTGTTAGAGCTGCATGAAAAGCCTTAATTTTGGGGGTGGTGATGCTTTATGATGGGGTGAACTTCATCTCAAATAGGATGGTGATACAATGAGGGGTTGAGACCTATTATGGAGGTGTATCACAGGTGTGGTGGTGACTTTCCATATCACAGGTATATGCTGGTAGGTAAGGCAATTAGTCTTTCATTTCTTGATTACTTCTGTTATAAAATAACGAGTTACAGCTTTTCTTTTAGGGCCATGTTTTAGTGGGTACAAAACAGACTGACAGACCGTGGGGCTGGAGATTAATGTGCAGCCATTGCTGGAGGAAAGTGGTTAAAGAACCTTTGCCTTCGAAAGGCACAAATCCTGGAGTGCCTGTCATGTACAGGTTTTTCTCACAGGCCACTGAGAAATGAAGTCTAATTGCTTTGGAGAACAGAATCTCACAGCTGTGCTGGACTCTGCCCTTTTGGGCAAAGAAACCCTACACAACAGGGTTCCCTTGGCTGTTGAGTTCCACTTTTATGTGTGATGTTGGCATCTTCCAGGGCATCTTCCACCAGGTGAGGGTCTTGCTGACATTTGCCTTTGTCTTGTTTCAGGGAACAGTGCTGAAGAATGGCACAGAAACCTTTGAAGCCTGGGAGGATCCTTCCCCTCCAGTCTACATGCAGTTCTACTTCTTCAATGTCACAAATCCTTTGGAAGTGCTCCAAGGAGCTACTCCTCTTGTAGAGGAAATAGGACCATACACCTACAGGTAGGATCCTTTCACTGCTTTTCCATTGCACTGAGGCTGGGGTGTGTGAGAGAGCCAAAAAGTGGAATCCAGAAAGGCTCGGGATCCCGTTCTAGCTGTTAAAGTGTGAGGGGAAGTCATACCCTGCCCAGACACCACTGACACTGGAGAGCCTGCAGCCAGTTTCAGATGGAGCCAGTGACTCCTGTCAGATTTTGGGCAAAGTTTTGCTGCTGTTCCTCAGCTGCTGGACACAGAGGAAGTTGTTTGCACCCTGGCCTCGTGTCTTGTGAGAGAAGCCACAGTTGGGTGATGTTTGTGAGGCTGAGGAGTGGTGCATAAAGTGTGACTCGTGCTGACTCAGAAATGAGTTCCTAGTTCAAATTGCACAATCCACGTGGGTAAAATGTGGCCAGAAAACCAGTTAGAGAGTGGTACTAAAGGGATCTTCCTCAGCCCAACCCTCACTGTATAGACTCAGATATATCCACTATTTTTACTGTCATATTTACCAAGGCCATGTGCAGTGCTGGAGTTTAGTCTCTGGAGCTCTCCTGTGTGGCATGGAGAGATTGTAAAGTCACCTTATAAGTGAGTTTTCCTTTAGAGCTTCATTCTGCTCAGCACTATAAGCCAGGAGCAGTCCTGGGGCAGGGAGGGATGTGAGGGATGAGAACCATGGCAAAAAGGTGATGTCTCATTGTCAGCCTCACTTCTGGTCACACAAACTCATCCAGTCTGGGCACCAGCTCAGTACCAGGAGTTGTCTTTACCTAAGATGCAAAATGATCAGAATCTGTTTGTATTGGAAAAAAATACTGTGGAATGAAAGGGAGAGCCTTTGTGGGAGCCTTGGTCTCTGTACTCTCTTGCCTTTCAGTTCCTTTCCTCCCACACCTCAGCTTTGTTTCTCCCTCTGCCAACAATCCTTTCCCCTGCCTCCTCTGCATTCCGGCCCTGTGTCTGTTTAGCCTTGGCAAACTCCATGTGATACTTTGGCAAAACCCCTGGCGTTACATAAGCCAGGAGAGCTGGAAAACAGATCCACAAACTTTCAAGCTTCTCCTTCAGGTATCTGGAGTGTCACACTGGGCACTAGTCAGAATGTGTTCTCTGTGTCAGGAGGATAAATAGGGCTAGTTCCAGAGGTAATGGAGCTACAGGACACCACACAGGTTGGAACTGAGTTTGCCAGCTGCTGCTTTTCCTGCCTCTCAGCTCCGAGTCTTGCTGGGTGTCCCATGTTTGGGAAGCTGCACCTCATCCATGGAGGAGCTCAGTGGGATGGATAGGGCTGGTGATGTTCTGGCTGGGTTGGTCCATGCCCGAGGGAAGGCCCAGCCTGAGCTGCTGGTTGCTGGGAGAGCCTTTCCCTGCATCCCACGCCAGGGGCAGGCTGTGAGGAGGTCCCTGACTCCCGGGATTGTTTATGGCAGTGCGAGGGAGGGAGGGAAGCTGTGTGTTCCAGTTGCTTCTGGCTTGTTTGCTCAGCCTGTTTGTGACTTGTCTGGGCAGGATTCCCTTGTGCTGTGCTCTGTCTGACGGAGGGAAGAGGAGAGTTAGGAAGTGGAGTGCTGTTTTCCAGCTGCTCCTTTAATCCTGGCGTGGCTATGGCTGCTGCAGGCTGTCAGCAGTGGGTGGGAGCAGGGGGAGCAGGGAGGGATGTTGCAGCCGTGCTGCACACTCAGAGCCAGAGGATGAACACCCAGTCTGTCTCACAGCCCCTGTTCAGGCTTAGCATGTGGCAGAACACCTACAGTGCCCTGACATGAAGTGCATGGCTCTGTGTTTTTGTTGAACAGGATGTTTGGGAAAGGCCGGAAGTGAACTGGCCCAGAGAAGCAGAGGAAAAACATCCAGTGAGTGACAGAGAGGAGATGGGAGGGCTCCACAGTCTCTTCCTGCAGCTCAGGCTTTTGACCAACACACATTGCACAGCAGTTGGTGCAGAAGAAGATCCTGTAAGAATATCCTGGGAGTTGAATTGGTAGCATATAAAATAAGGGAGTGTAAAGTGCAAAATGCTTATCTGCCCCAGCCTGCTGAGTCCCAAAGAACACTCAGATACTGCCTGGTCTTGCATACACTTACAGCTTTCTGTCTTTAACCTCTGAGAGCCTCCTGCTCATATTCCTCATCAGGGAGGATAATTTTCCTCTCCAGAGCTGGAGGGGTGTCTCAGGTTACCCCGGCCTATTTTAGGAAGGCACTTCACAACTGTCCATTTCCATCCCCTCGATTCCACCCCTGGGGAGTAAAGTAGGTGGTTGTCCAAGAGGCTCTTGCCAAATCAAGCTGGAAGTGTTGCCAGACCACAATGTTCCTGGGTGGCAGTGGTGCTGGAGAGTGGTAGATACACTGTTTGGTAAGGAAGATGGGAAGTTGTTGGTTTCTAACAACAGTTTCACAGGCATTTGCAGTTTGCTTGACATTTGAAAGGTAAAGCAGAGCAATGCAGCCTGTGATGAAGCTGCATCCATGGATCTAGTGCAGCCAGGATGGAACCTGGGATCTGAACTGAAAGGAAAACACCACAGCACAAGGTCTGGCAGAACAATTCGCCCTCACATCTTGTGACTTGAAATCTACCCAGGCAGCAAAGCAGTGTGAAAGTCAACAGCCTCTTGAGTGAGTGTACACTTAGGGAAGAGAGGGTGTTTCACTCTGTGTGTGCCAGAAGGCTCAGGCCATGAGCAGCCAACCTGCCCTGTCCCTTTTGGGGGTTGCCTGGGACACATGTGCAGCTCATGCTGAGCCTGTCCTGCAGATTTCCTGTTTGTAAGATGGCAATGGCAGTGAATTGGGTTGTGCTTCTGGCATGTGTTTCAGGGTAATTAGGATCTGATTTCCTCATCAGGTAGTGTTTGGTGTTCCTTGCCACTTGCACTGGTTGGTCAGCAATGCTGAGTTTGATCCTGCTCTCTGGGTGCTTAGGAACAGCAGCCACCTCCCAGGCCAGGAGTAGTGCATGGCAAAAACACAGTTGAACTTCTGTCATGTCCAGGATTCCTCCCTGAGAATTCAAGGAGAAGAACTGAAATGAGGCTTGTTCTGTGCTCTTGTCAAATACAAGCCCAGAAGTCCTAGTGCCCAGTGCTTTGAAGGCAGCAGAATGATCCTGGTAGGTTCTGAGGTCAGGTCAGTGAGACTTACGCACAGCCTACATCTGCCTGGGAGTGAATTTTGCCTGCAGCAAAGAGGCAGAAGTTTCCTGTTCAAATTGTACTTTGAGGCCAGTCCCATATATAATGCCTCTAAATCCTTTTCTACTGTCTGAAAATGTCCTCTTTCTGTGGAGGTTTTTAAAGATGAGGCAATACAAAGTGCAATTAACATGTGGGGTGGCACTTTGGGAAGAGCCTCATGATGTCTGACTCAGCTCACACTGGCACAGAGGGGAGTTTGTGTCAGTGAGGGACTCTGCTCCCAGTGAGCTGAAAATCCCACCCTCCATGTGCTTAAAGCAGCAGAACAGCTCTAGGTTGATTGCAGTTAATGCTGTGTGTACTTGTTTAACTCGATGAGAGCACAAACTCTCTTGTTCTTCAGGGAATACAGGCCAAGGGTGCACATTCAGTTTCTAGACAATGGAACCAAAGTGTCTGCTCTGAACCCAAAGACTTACGTGTTTGAACCTCAGAAGTCAGTTGGAAACCCTGAAGTGGATCTGATCCGAACAATAAATATCCCTGCAGTGGTGAGTTCTCTTTCCTTGCTGCTTGGAGATGATCCTGACACACTTTAGAACAAGTAGTTTCTTGCTTCATTCTGTCTTTCCCTTGTGTATCCCTTGTGGTAGATACATGTGACTGAGGAACTAGAGAGGCAGCTCATGTCTGCATGAGAGGCAGCTGCTGCTCTCAGTTTTGGGTTGGACTGCTGGGAAGAGTTTATGTTGTTCCCCCCTCTCCTCCCACCTCTGTAGTGTCAGTGCCTCACTCCTGCTCTGAGAGCTGATTCACACTGAAGAGATGAGGAGAAATCAGGCTGGCTGGCTTTCCATGACTGAGTGAAATTAGGGAATTACTAGTGTCAAATGCTTAGGAGGAACTCTGGCTTCTGAATGAGAAACCTGGGAGTGCTTGTGGATGTTCTGCCACAATTGCAGAAGTTGTTTCCAAGTCTGAGCCTCAGACTGGAACAAAAAGTGCAGCAGAGGAGTTTTGGGCAGAGCTGAATGAAAAGGAGCTCTCAAAGTGAAACTGAAGTGACAGCTGTGTTAGGTGAAAGTGTCTCTGTAGTGATCAGAGCTCCTTGCTTTGGTCTCACACAGGGATACATGAGAACAAGCAGCTCTAAAGCTGTCACAGCTTCCAGGGGGAATCAGACTGCATGCAAATACTGGGGCATGTGACTCAGCCTTCACTCCTAGTTTAATTGACTTCAATTGCAGGGTACAGTGATTTCAACTTTCCCCCAGCATTTCCAGAGGTGTCTTGTCTGGTTCCCTGAGTGAACACAGAAGTGCACTGTGTGTAGTAGCAGATAGCACTCAGCTCAGCTGCAGGCAACACAGACACTGTATTTAGAGCTGTCCCCCAATCAGCCTGAACATTTCTCCCTTGCTCCAACCCCCTGGCAGAGTGCGATGGAGTGGACCAGGTCAACCCCTCTGCAGTTTGCCACAGAAGTGCTGCTGCTGCTGTACCAGGAGTCCCTGTTCACTGTCCACAGTGTCCATGAGCTGCTGTGGGGCTACAAGGACAGGCTCCTCTCAACCATCCATGTCCTGCACCCCGAGGTGGATCCTGTGTTTGGGCTCTTCAGTAAGGTAACTGCTAGTGCTTGAGGTGGGGAGCAATGTCACTGCTGCAGAGTCTGGTCACCAGGCACGGAGAGAGATGTGTCTGGATCAAGGCCAGGGGGAAGGCTGCAGGGATAGCAAAGGGATGTTCCCTCTTCAGTTTGGCTGTGTCTAGGCACTGCCTGTGATTATTTACCTGTTTATACTCTTTATCAGATATGGATAAGCTTTCCAAGGGCAAACCCCTCCACTACTGCCCGTGGTCACTTGAACAACATGAGCTTTGTGGGGCTAGTTGGGCAAACTCCTAGAGACATTTCCTGGCTGATTTCCTTAGTAATTGGTTGGAATTGGATGCTATTTCTGTGCTGGAGCTATTCCTGGCTTCCACAGTGCTGCACAACATTTTGGGCTGTGGGGGATCCTTGTTTCTTGGAGATGTCTGCAGTGCTCAGGTCATTTCTGTGGGGTGTTTCCTTGCTGAGGCCTGTTCTTTTCAGGGGCAGCTTTCAAAGGGATGAAAGGCTCATCTGATGCTGCATTTCTTGCACTTGGGAGGTGTAGGAATCTGGCCCAGTCTCTTCCCCCTCCTTTATATTCAAGGTGGAGTTCAGTGAGCTGCAGAGAGCTCAGGGTGGATTTGAAGTGATGACAGCTTAAACTCCTGCCCCCCCTTGCAGTGACTAGCCAGGTGTCACAGGATGAGTGGAGTGACCACAACCTCTGTCTGTTTGCAGATGAATGGAACTGATGATGGGGAGTATGTTTTCCTGAGCGGGGAAACGAACTACCTAAACTTCTCCAGGATTGTGGAATGGAAAGGAAAAGAGTAAGTGTTTCAGAACTCTGGCAGAACCTGCCCCTTGTCACATTTTGGGTGAAGAAAAAAAAGGGGCCTATATTCTGAGGGTTTCTGTACCTCTTGGCAGCTCTAGCTTCGAACCAGCCCCTCAGGATTTTGGTGTGTGCCATGGAGCTATGAAAGGAAGACAGACACAGCCCTTAGAGAGGCATCCACACTTCCTTACTGCTCTCTCCCAGCCCCAAGGGACAACGTGGGCCTTGTGCACCTGTGGCAGTGTGTGGTGTTCCAACAGCTGAGCTGCCCAAAGCACATCCCCCTCCCATTAAACCAAACATCTGCCAGCCATGACACAGGTGGGAGGAACTCTGCAGACCTGTTCCTGCTTGCCTAGCACCAGCTTAAAGAGACTATAGCTCTCTATAAACCCATTTTATTCCCTTTCTTGTTGTGGATGCAGCATCGTGCAGGTGTGATTCTCCTTTGCCTGGGCCATGAGCTGGCATTGCCTGACCACTGCTCTGAATTCTTTTAACCCTTGCTCTCTTTGCTTGGTTTTCCTCAGGTCCTTGAGCTGGTGGACAACAGAGACGTGTAACATGATCAATGGAACAGATGGGACGTCCTTTCACCCACTGATTAGCAAAGATGAGAACATTTATATCTTTTCTTCTGATTTCTGCAGGTAAGGAGGAGACAGTGTCACTCAGACTTGAGAGCAGAGCATTTACATCCATTCCCCTCGAGGTTTCATGTTAGGCTGGTGTTTTCCTCCTGTGATTTCATTGCACAGTGGGAGTGTTCTGCATTTGTTCATGGTGTGAAGGGTGAGAGTTACACCAAAAAACCCCAATCTGTGTCATGTTAAGGATGTGCTGTTTCCAGATGAAAATAACGGGAAGATTTGGAAGGTGACTGGAAGCACAGACTGAACTGCCTTGCAAGGCTAGTAATGAGGGTTGGAAGGATTTATATGCACCTTGCCTGAGGCTTCTTTCCTTGCTTGTTTTAGAGATCCCAGACTGCCCTCTTCAGAGATTCTTGACTTGATGCTGTTTGAAATGCATCAAGATGCAGAAAATCCTGGTGTTCCCTTCCTTACGTTCCACCTTATGTTCCCCTGCCTGTTTCTCTCTCTGTGAAGAGCCAAACCCATCTGAAGTAATTTAAATCATTACAGATGTGCCTTGGACTAAATTCAGGACTTGTGAACTTGTCTGTCTTGCATGAGTGTGTTCTTTTCCTAGTCCTTCTCAATAGCAAGTACCAGCATTCACACAACACATAATAGTGACATGGAGCCAGAATGAGACCCCAAAATGCTGATGGCAGGTGTCAGTGATCTATTTGTGCAGCAGCAGCATGATGAGATGTGCATTGCTGCTCAAAGCCTATTAAATTTAACACAGAAGGTGGTTGGAATAGTCCTGCAAACTGAAATAGATGCACAACATGTGCAGAGAGACATCGTGTTGGTGTGTGCTCCAGGCTCATCACTCCTGCTCTAACCCATCCTGGTCTGGCTTTGCTTCCTTGCAGGTCCTTTTACCTGGTGTATGACAGCTCAGGGGCTGTGGCAGGTATCCCGACCTATCGCTTCGTGCCCTCTGCCATGGTGTTTGCCAACACGACGGTGAACCCAGCCAATGCCGGGTTCTGTGTGCCCCCAGGGAACTGCCCTGGCACTGGAGTCCTCAATGTCAGCATCTGCAAGCAGGGTATGGCACCAGGGACATCTGCTGCAGGGGCAGCTGTGGGGAACAGGGCACCTTTCCATCAGTGGTGCTCACAGCCAGGTTGGATGAAGCCTTGAGCATCCTGGCCTAGTGGGGAATTGTCCCTGCCCAAGGCAGGGGGTTGGAACTAGATGATCTGTAAGGTCTGTTCCAACCCCTAAAATTCTGTGATTCTGTGAAATGCATGAGGTGAGGTCTGAGGAGTCGCGACTGTACTCAGTGAAATCAGCCACCAACAAGTGGTTGTTTAGTTGTAAACTGCTCTAGTAATGATTTAAATCAAGGAGCCAGAAGGAAGGACCAGGATCCAGGGAATGCAGAAAAATCCCAGCTTGGCACTTACCTGCTTCTACCCAGGGAGCTCTCACATCTGAGTTGGCTGAGTGACAGCAAGCTTGAGGCTTGAAGCCATACTGACACTGCATGAGGGAACTTTTAGCTTGTCCTGGAGACAAGGAGTCAGTGTTGATTCTGTAACTTCAGAATGGACTTTTCCCTTCAGTATCAATGGCACAGTGACCAGAGTTTTGAGGCCATCAAACACTTCCTCAAATCCTGCTCTGCCTCTTTTAGATAGTAACTATGTTTTCTCTTTCCAGGTGCACCAATATTTCTGTCAGCTCCACATTTTTACCAAGCAGATCCAAAGTTTATAGAGGACATAGAGGGCATGCATCCCAAAAAGGAATACCATGAGACATTTCTGGACATCAATCCTGTAGGTGCAGCCTCTTCTCAAGGGTTCTGTAGGTGAATCCAAGCCATGTGGGTTTAGGTCACCTCCTTGGATGGTGTGTGTGTATCCACATAGTCCTGTTGACCTCAGGGAAGCTGGACTAGTTCATGTGGAACTGAGCTGTTTGTCCCCAAGAGAAACAAGTGATTCAAAACCCTCTCAGCTGGCCACCACAAGCCAGTCCTCAAGCAACAGCAGCCCTGGCAAACTTTCCCCCCCAGTTTTTCCTTGCTCAGCATGGAATGGGAGATCCCTTTGGACAGTTTGGGTCAGCTGTCCTGTCCCTGTCCACTCCCAGCCTCTCCCCCACCCCATGCCCACTCCCTGGCAAGGAACTGTGAGAAACAGAAGAGGCCTTGAGGCTGTGCAAGCACTGCTCAGCAATAGCTAAAACATCCATGTGTTAACCACACTGTTTCCATCACAGTTGCAAATCTATGCCTGGTAACAGCTCTGGTGGAGAAAATGAACTATCTCCCAGCTAAAGCCAGTACAGCAGTGATCTCTGCTCCCACACACATGAATGTGGGTCAAGGAGAAGAGCACAGTCATGGCCTGCCTGGTTTACAGAAACAGAGCTCTGACTCATCAAGCTGTTATGTGTGGCTAAAGCAGGAGGAAATTCCATAGTTTCTCTCTCCAGGGCTAGTGCAGGTGCTGCTGGGAATCTGGTGTGGTGCCAGATTCTTCCTGTATCCTCAGAGTTCTTATTCTTTCATGTTTTACTCTTTTTAGGAGTGTTTTGGTTTGGTTTTGGTGTTTTTTTTTTGACACCAATGTTTTTTATTCCCCAGCTGACAGGGCTGGTCCTGCAGGCAGCCAAGAGGATGCAGATCAATGTTCATGTCAGAAAACTACCTGAATTCTTGTAAGTCCTCTGCTACTGGGTGGGTGTGTCAGATCTGGTTTCACAGTCCAAATGACTTTGTCTGCAATGTTCAGAGGGAATATTGTTTGGAGATAGCAAGTGTGAGAGAGAGAAACCAAATCAAATCCCAGTTGCAAGGGGCAAGATCCTCTCTTCTCACAGATCACATAAATCTTGCAGCTCCAGCTGCAGACAGAGGCAGCTTTCAAGAAAAACAGGTAAATCAGGTAGAGAGAGGTGTCTTACCTGTGACTGCATTGGTATCAGAGAGAGAAGTTTTTGTACTGCAGCTCTGGCAGTCAGGACAATCCTGCACATGGGAACAGTGTACAGTCCCCAAGCACATGTGAGTAGAACCCCCCAGGTGGACTCTGCCTGGTGTTCTGGGTGTCCCAGTCAGAGGGGATGCCCCCAGAATGCAGCTCAGCTCTGCAGAAACACTGTTCTCTTCATCCTGTGTCTCCCTGACACATCGGTTTGCTTGTCACTAGTGCTGTGTGGTAGCTGTTCCTCCCACTCAGCTCTGAGCTGATGGTTATTGGCACAGCTTGGCTGTAATAACTAACAAAGAAGGATTTTTTCTGCCCATTCCCCTTGGGAGAGTGAGTGATGTTCCCTCTGAGGAGCAGCACCTTGTTTCCTAGTGCCCAGGAGCTGTGACTCTGTGTGCCAAACCTTGGGGGATTTTTGCTGCTGTGCCCTTGTTGCTTGGACAATAGCTCCTGTGTTTTACAAATAGGAGTAGAGCTTCACATTAGCCTGGCACAGTCAGTTATTAATGAGCTCCATATGGATCTCTCTCTCCCTACCAAGACCTCAAATGTACCATTGCTTCCAAACCAGAACTTATTACCCATCTTGGAGACGGAGGGATGTGAAAATCAATGATGAAAAGAAACAGTTCAGAGGTTTTTAAGGACATTTTCCTTGTTCATTGTTCTAATATAATCTGTCTTCACAACCTTTTCATGTTTATTAATGAGCTCCATATGGATCTCTCTCTCCCTACCAAGACCTCAAATGTACCATTGCTTCCAAACCAGAACTTATTACCCATCTTGGAGACGGAGGGATGTGAAAATCAATGATGAAAAGAAACAGTTCAGAGGTTTTTAAGGACATTTTCCTTGTTCATTGTTCTAATATAATCTGTCTTCACAACCTTTTCATGTTGAGAAGTTTAAACCCATAATGTTTTATTGCTGCTTTTTCACACAGTGAAACAGGCAACATCCGAACGCTGATTTTCCCAGTGATGTATTTAAATGAGGTAAAGAGTTTTGCTATGCCTTTGCAGCCTTGTGGCATGTCTGTGCTTGAAAAAAATACCCTCTTCGAGCTTACCAGAAAAGAAAATGCTGGTTTTCCTGTTGTTTCATGCAGTGATAGGTAGGAAGCTGTTGCTGTTTCTTAGCTAACATTCTCCTGCTGTTTGTTGATCATAGTATCAAGTTCAGCTCTGCAAAACACCTTCAGACACTCCTTTTAATTTCAAAGGAGTTGGTTGTGAGGAAAAGGGATGCTCAGGTGAGGAGGGAGGTCACGAGGAGGAGGCCATGGCAATCCCAGGCACACCTACAGGTTGAGTGGGGAAAGAATTGAGACCAGCAGTGAGGAGAAGGACTTGGGAGTGACAGTGGATGAGAAGTTCAGCATGAGCTGCAGTGTAAGCTCAGCCCAGAAAGCCAATGGAGTCCTGTGGGCTGCATCAAAAGGAGTGTGGGCAGCAGGTCTAAAGAGGTGATTCTTGCCCTCTGCTCTGGTGAGACCCCACCTGGAATACTGCACACAATTCTGGTGTCCTCAGCGTAAGAAGGACATGGAACTGTTGGAGCAAGTCCAGAGGAGGCCACAAAGTTGCTCAGAGGACTGGAGCATCTCTCCTGTGAGGATAGGCTGAGGGAGTTGGGGCTGTTCAGCCTGAAGAAGAGAAGACTTTGTGGAGACCTCAGAGCAACTTTTCAGTGTCTGAAAGGGCTACAAGGGAGCTGGAGAGGGACTCTGTGTTAGGAACTGCAGTAATAGGACAAGGGGTAATGGTTTCAAATTGAAAGAAGGTTGATTCAGACTAGATACAGGGGAAAAAAAATTTGCAGTGAGGGTGGTGAAACACTGGCACAGGTTCTCAGAGAGATGGTGGATTGCCCATCCCTGGAACCATTAAAAGTCAGGTTGGATGCAGCTCTGAGCAACCTGATCTAGGCAAAGTCCATTCCAACTGCTAAATTCTATGATTCTGTCACATCTTCTGTGAATATTCCTGTGCTGCAGCTGCATCAGTGAATTGTTTGGATTCAGGGAGGACTGTGGGGCACTAGTTGTGATGCTGTATCTCATTATTCCAGGCCTATATTAGCCCCTTCTTAAACCTTAAGTTAAAAAAAATCCATATTTCCCTTTGAAATACAGACTAGGTGATCAG